ACATCGTTTTAAAACAATAATTATGTCATACTCCAACTGCATTTATAACTATATTTCTATGAAGAACAAAGCCATTGTGTTCAAAATAAAAAGAAATAAAGGCTAAACTTATTTTTTTCTGATTTCCTAGTTGAAAATTAACACAAATGTGCTTCCGTAGTTAAATCTGACTTTACATCAGGTTAAAAAAGATCATCGTTTTGATTGGTTTGCAATAATTGATTGGTTGCCCGGATAATCAAAATAGAAAGTAAAGGACATGATTGACAGGTGCAACATCGTTGGAGAAGGAGTAAATTTTCTTTAAAAGTAAAAAAATGAAGAAACATTCAATTGTTTACATTAGCTACGTTTTTTGTCAAATTTTTTCACGACTCTGCACAATAAATTGCACATACAATTTTATTATTTTTTTCACCCAAAATACTGATAAATAGCTATATTTTATTTCACATGGTTTCACGGGGGATAAAGTACCATTTGGTAGGCTGTGCCCCTCTGATAATTAAGGGGGATGTACGGCCATATTTAGTGCAGTGAGAACAAAATGTAAACATTTCTTCAAATGGCTAAAATACATTATATTTTGATCAAATTCTAAACCCTTATGATAAAGATACAATAAATATGCATAACTGAATGCATGTTGTGCATATATAATCTATACTTCTGCAGAAAAATGCTTTTGATATGCACCTTAGAACTGCGCAGCTACAGAATTCAGCAGAGCCTTAAAAAATCCAAAAAAAATACGCAAAGTGTGCATTAATGTTCTCTCTACTACCATTTGTTGAGAAAATGTCTAAATTTTGCACTTTTAAATGATAATTTTAAATTCAAAACAAGGTATCGTTGTCTTCAAAAAGAGTGAAAAGAACCATGAAAGTAGTTCATTGATAGCAGCACGTGGTCTATTTTTAGCACAGAATTTTGTTTTCCAGACCTCTTCTTAATATGGAGGGACATAACAATCTTTAAATGTAGAAGAGAATTACAGTTGCAAAATATTTCAAATAATATGAACACTTTTCAAAGAGGAATTGTGTTAAAGTGTGGCTTGAAGTAATTTATTTAGTATTATTATCAAACAGTTGTTAAATAGTGTACGTATTGAAATAAACTTTTTGATTCCAGGTAAGGAAAAATGAGCACCATCAAAGTTTAAAATGAAGAGTTTGTAAGTTTGCCACAGATAACTTATAATATCTATCAAAAGTTTAATTATCACCAATGAAACACAAAGAAATTAAACACATAAAATCGATATGAAAAACCTTGTGTTAGTATCTACTAGTACGAGGGGTGATCGAACTATCTCTATATCTACAAAACCACAATTTAGATTAGAAGCAAATTTGGTGCACACTCAAGTTCTATGAATAGCATATGCCAAATAAAGTTTTGCTCATAATGTGAAAATAAAGTCATTATGCAGGTACTTGTGACGAAAAATGGTTGTCTCAGTGGAACTCATTCAACAAACGACTAAAATAATTATGGTATATCTTAAAACTGCATTTGAAGCAACGTATAAGAATTTGTTCAAAGTTTATTAAGACAAATGACTTCCTAATAATTCAATCAATGATTGGATAGACCGTTTTAGTGAAGGAAGGCAGATGGTTGAATATGATACTTGTTATGTTGCCCGGTGAAAGCAAGTTTGAAAAGGGGTTTGTTTTTAATTAAGCAATATGCTATCAAAGGTCTCCAATTTACACTTTGAAAAATACTTGAATATTTCAACAATAATATAACTATCAAATACCTAAGATATTGTTTACTTTTGATCACCCCCCCCCCCCCTCATATATACTCTGTCAAATAAACATTTACAATTTTCATTACAGCGGAGCGACATTTGAAAAGGAATAAAATCATTCAGAGTGGGTTAAGAGATTTAATGAATAACTTTTTTCTATTTGCCCATTTTGTCAAAATTACAATTTTACAGAGTAAAGAAAAAAATCAACACAATTAAATATTTTATAACATCTTTAAAATGACGTTTGGTGGACCTCCCAACTCAGGGAAAATTATTGGGTCCGTATTTATGGTGAGAAAAAAAATTCCTTAAAATTTAAACATATTTGTTGACGGAAGAAAAAAAAATCCTGTAATTGGATGTAAAATAAAATTGAGTCGGGCCATTTTTAGGCAGTAGATCGGGAGAGAGGGCAACCAAATATATTTACAACAAATGGTCTTATAAGGCTAGTACATGTTCCATCACATACTTAGTAATGCAAATTTTTTTAATCTTTGGCACTATTTTGAAAAAAAAACATATGATTTTCGGAAGGGGGGGGGGGGGGGTAGTCTCTCATTTTTTGCGATGATAGATAGACATTGCATATGCAATGGACCTTTGTTTGCAAACATTGTGATTGCTTCTAAATTTAAAAAAAAAAACAACTCTATATATTTTATCAAGCTTCGTAAGTTCAATGATCGAGAGCTTACAACGTAGTCAACATAATGAGACATGATGCGTTTTTATGTCCAAACATTACTCCATACGATGTGTTGGTCATTGCAAACAATCAAGCTATTTATGTGAGGTGCCTGAAGGAAATCCTTTAACTGCCTATTTTTTCTATCTAACTGCTAAACAAAATAGACATATGTACCAACTTTTCGAATGTAAGACATGTAATTGCAATTTGTTTTTCATGCACCGCATATTGTTTAACATTTTCAAATTAAATGCTAAGCATCCTCCTTGCAGTGCCCCATTTCAAAATAACTTCTATTGCCACAGAAAAAAAGGCCCAACGCAGGGATTGACATTAACGGTTGTCCGATTGCCCGGGACAAGTAAATCATCAGGTCGGGCAAGTGAAATCATCAATGTACTTTCCGATCGGGCAAGTGGATATTTCTGATAGAAACGTTTTTTTTAATCTTACATTAGTTTATAAACAAAACAATGAATTGAACAGTTGATTTCCGCCAAAAACGTGACAATGTTTTTGGATTCGGAATCCCTCGGTAACGTTTCTGGATCATACCTTTATTTAGAAATCGGGTTCGTTATTCTGTTTTCTTTCGTTCACTCTCTGCCTGACAACTTATTATGAACTTACGATACATTCTTACGAAATATATATAATAGAATAGTTTATTTAATCACTCAGAATATAAAGAACACCAGTTGTTCTTGGTAATGATGTATCTTGATTCAAAACATGATAACTGTTTTCCTTTTAGTTGACCTTAATCGCTTGGGGGGGGGGGGGGGGGGTAAATTTTCAAAACAAAAAAGAAAAGAAAAGGAAATATCATTAGTGCATCGCTGTACGTGTGTTAACAGGATAGTAAATTACAGGAAAGTTGTTTATACAGTAACTGATGTTTTCTTCTTTAAAATTTTTGGGCAACCAAGTTTTGCGTTCGGGCAAGTCAAAATTGTAGTTCACTGCCCGAAGGACAAGTGAATATTAAAGTTAATGTCAATCCCTGCGACGTAAACACATATGTTTAGGGCATTTTTTAGCTTTTTCTTGAGTTTTAAAGAAACCAACAAATTATCAAGACTTGTTCCACGAAAAATTAAATATAATCATGGTTATAAACGCATCTATCCACAGCAGATATATGCACATGTCAAGCACGTGCTCAGTGTATTAATATTTTCTAGCAAACTCGAGCTGTGAACAGAACAGTTTTTCCCGATTTGCTGGAGTGGGGTTAAAATCGCGTTTTTTCATTAATCAGACGAAGCGATGCAACAAATAAAAGTAGTAAGTAATATTACCTAATGATTATTACTAAGTAATTTCTTGTCTTGATGTTTTTATGGTCGCATTTATTCTAAAATCAATGTTATTCGAACTCTGTGCGACAGAGGAATGGCGGACGAAATAAACACATGGTCTCAGGAAGACACACATATGAAAAATCAAATTTTCAAGAATTCTAGATAATGACAAGAAAAAAGCGAAACAAATGGTTGTAGCCATATTATCAATGAATCAAACTAACACCATTTTCAATGCATTTTTCATCTCGTGAATGCTGTAGCTGCGCAGTACTACAATGATTAATTTCCTCCTAATTAAAACAAAATAAACTTAATTATTTACTAATTTTGGTCTCTAACAGTAGGTAACTAGTGCATTAACACTTTGAGTAACTTTGGTCTAGTTTAGACGAGTATTAAGCGCATTCTTGGCATTTCTTATTTCACACCAGACTAGATCCAATTGGCTTGTACATCCCCCTTAAGACTTTTTTGCCATCACTACTCTTTGCAGAAGTGTTGTGATGTTAAATGAATGATTCTGTGTAAACAGCTAGTGTAAAAATATTTTTCTATTATCCATTTAAAAGTATTATAATTATTTTTAATATTCAATGTAATTTATAAAGTCATAGGAAGAATCAAAATTTGGTCTTATATTTCATAAGTTCTTATGTAAAATGAGCCCCTGAACATATATCATGAAAAATATAAATTTCTTTTTTTTTTATGATACATCTAGGCCCTAGCTTAGCTCCATATAGGCAACGACCTGGTATTAACAATAACGAGATAATTACATCAAAATATGTAGTTTCATCGAGTGTTTTACAAAATTTCGAATTTCCTCTATAGTATTTAAAAAGATCCTACGTTCATCTTCAACTCGAAAAATTCCTAGCTGAATTTCTCATTTTATAAAAACACATACCAGCTATTTTACGAGTTGAATGCACAGCATAACTTCTACATAAGCAAGTAAACGGTGTAGAAGCAAGAGAAACCAGTGAGCTACCAAGTGACATTTTCGGTAAAAGTTAATTCGAACAACGAAGATTCTTACAGGTGCCTGAAGTCATTCTCACCTCTAAAAGTTTAATTTGTTTCAAATAAAACAAAATAAAAGTTAAAAGATATTTTAATATTTTTAACTATTTCAAAATAATAATTTCGTTTTTTATCATTATCATTTCATTGAATACATGTATATCTTTTACACACCGACTCATTCAAAGCATGCATTAATATAATTGGTCTCCGGAACCACATGTTTTCCCATCATTTCTAAACCGCTGGAAACTTTGCTGTCCAGAAATTTTGTGGAAAAAGTGCTGATATAATTACAGGTAACCTTTCTCTTTGTTTTTAAAACAAGTTATTTTTATAGTATTTGACAGTTTAAAGGTATATTCTATGTTATTTCTAATTAAATTAGGCTCACGGTGCAATGAAGTATCGAGGAAATTCGGTTTTTCCTGCAAAAGAGTTTAAACAATCGCACTTATCGTTAATTCTCCTTTCTTTCTATAACTTTATCTTCTTTTGGCTTTGAAAATTCACGAAAATGTGAGCCCAGTATTGTAATAATTGAATTCTTAATAATGTAAGTTAAAGCTGTCTAAGTATTTTTGGATAGATATTTACTCATCCTTCACAGAATAAGAGTAACGCAGTAGAATAAATCTGCTACATATAGTTTTTTGGCCATTCAATTAAGAAATAAGATATCATTTTCAGAGTGTCATTGGGATATGACATAAGGTTGGGTCGTGTGATCAAATTCTATAACGCCAAAAGGGCGTTTAGACTTGTTATTAAAATGCAACATAATGCACATGTACATCATCATATGACGTCACAGTCAAGACTTTCTAGTATTGTCTCGTGTGGTTTTCCAAACTTCATGTCATTGAAAATTGAATGTCAATATAATTTATATTGTCATATATATAAGGAAAGACATTTGCAAATGTAAATATTCTTTTTTAAAGGTTATTGAAATTTTTGTTGGCAGAATGGCAGAAGAAGCTGAAGCAGATGAGAAGAGAATTTTGGCTCAGTTCAAAAGTGAAAGTGGAGATGTTACAGGAAATGCATTTGATTTACCTTTAAACATCACAGCAGAAAAGCTACAGATGATCTGCAATGCTTTATTGACAAATGTAAGTAATCATCTAAAAGTGAAAGGATTAATATGCCAGGTCATCCATTGCATTGACTGAACACATCTTTATTTTTCTGCTTTAAGGAAGATCCTATCCCTTACTCTTTCTTTGTCAATGACATTGAAGTAACTGACAGTCTGGTGAAGGCACTGGATGATAAAGCCCTAGAGAACACAGAACAGGTCCTGGACATAGTTTACCTCCCTCAGGCTATATTTAGAGTGAGGGCCGTAACAAGGTGCACCAGTACCATCCCGGGACATGCAGAGGCTGTCATTTCTGTATCATTTAGTCCTGATGGACGGTAGGAAATGTTTACTTTTTTTTTTATATTTATTCATTAATATACTGATTGACTAATAATCACAATGATTTAAATTTTGGAAGAATTTTGATAAGGCAAAAGAACACAACACAATATTTTATGAAAATCTTTGGTTTCATCCTAGTTTGTCTTTCAGGTATTTGGCTAGTGGTTCAGGAGATACAACTGTTCGGTTCTGGGATGTGCAAACAGAAACTCCTCACCATACTTGTAAAGGTCTGATAATTGTTAATCAAATTACTTGAATAAGTAATTTTGTATTCAATTTAATGCTATTTGAATATCATCATTGCATCAAATTTGGTTAAAGTAAGTTTTAGATATCATCTTTTCAGGTCATAAACACTGGGTGTTATGCATAGCTTGGTCACCTGATGGAAAGAAGCTAGCCTCTGGTTGTAAAAACAGTCAAGTAAGTTTTACTGAAAAGAAGTAGTACTTTGTAAGATCTTTTAGCTTTTTTCATTTCAAAGAAAGATTCCTTTACCATTGCCATTTGAGACAAATGTGATACATGTATGTTATTGTTGTTTGTTTATGACAATATTGATGAAAAAAGGAAGTTTCTTTCACATTTTGCCCATCTGAAATTGATTGCATTTTAATTATGAATTAGAAAAACATAAGCTAATTTTTTATGAGTGATGGACATTAAAGTGGCACAGTGAGTCAAAATCATATCGTAGTTTTAAGATATCTGTATTTTACAGAGAAATACTTATGAAATTATGAGTTTTTAGCGAATATATGACAATTAAACTGCAAGAAAAGACTGCAGAATATACGTGCCGTTAAAATAAAGGTTGTATCTACCGTTTTATTGTTTTCGTGTATGTTAAGGTCAAACCACTTTTATTTTTAGCTCAAACTTGTAAATAACTTTCAACTGGAGCATGCAAAGGTGAGAAATATGTTTTAACAACTTTTTTTAAAAGAGTAAATCAAATTTTTTGGTCTTCTTACATTCATTCGTGGATAACTGAGACCATGGTAACTATGGAAACTTATTCAACAATAGGGAGGAAGAAGTACCAGAGTATTTTGCAATATGTTCGTTCTGGGGCAGACAGATATTATTTTTACTTTTATTTTTCCCCCAAAAAATATCATTTTTAGGTTCCGAAACATGTAATTTTCTGAAACTGAATACTTTTAGGAATTGAACAAAATCTACAGAAGTCATGCGAAAATTCTACATTTGTCAATTTTCCCCTTTGTGCGTCACAGTGCCGCTTTAAAATGTATTTCTTTTAGATATATCTGCTTTCTTTTTATCTACTTTTCAATTTGGGGGAACAGAGGACTGACACTTTTTTGGGGGATTCAAAGAATACCTCTCTATATTTACCTTGAGTATATTTTTAGCTCACCTGAGCCGAAGGCTCAAGTGAGCTTTTCTGATCACATTTTGTCTGTCTGTCCGTCCGTCTGTCAGTCCGTCTGTAAACTTTTCACATTTTCGACTTCTTCTCAAGAATCGCTGGGCCAATTTCAACCAACCTTGCCACAAAGCATCCTTGGGTGAAGGGGATTCAAGTTTATTTAAATGAAGGGCCACGCCCTCATACAAGGGGAGATTATTGGGAATTATTTTAAAAAATTCAGTGGTATGTTTTAAAAATCTTCTTTATCCGGGGGGTAGGGAGGGGCCACAATGGCCGACCAAAGTTTTAAATAGAAATATATAGGAAAATTCTTTAAAAATCTACTTTTCAAGAAAAGCCATCATTGATCATATTTATAGGGAAGCATCCTCAGGTAGTGTAGATTTAAGTTTGTTCAAATCATGACCCCCTGGGATAGGGTGAGGCCACAATGGGTGACCAAAGTTTTACATAGAAATATATAGGAAAATTCTTTTAAAATCTTCTTCTCAAGAATATAGCAAAGCCATGATTTTTCATGACTACTTTTGGATATAAACTTTTCAATACTGGTAATAAACCAATTTTTACTTTTTCCTAGCCACAGTGCTCAGGTGAGCCACTCGGCCCATGGGCCTATTGTTTCATAGGTTGTGTGAGTCACTGTGTCACAACTGTGTGTATTTTAAGCATAAGTATTGACCCTGTTGTAGATTTGTGTATGGGACCCAGATTCAGGCCATCAAAAAGGAAAAACTCTAACTGGACATAAACAGTGGATAACCTGGCTGTCATGGAAACCTTTCCATTTGTAAGATCTTTATTTTGTAAAACATTTAATACATGTATTTCTTTAATCCATGCTTTTATGTCTTTGGAAGCCTTATTTGGATTTTTTTATTCCCTCGTTTTATTTTCTATATATTGTATGAACAGTTATGTGCTGAATTACAAGAATTTGATTAGCTTTTATCAAAACAAACTCTATTGATAATTTGCTTATCTTTATTTTTCAGAGATCCAGAATGCAGATTCCTTGCAAGCAGTTCTAAAGTAAGTTCTTATTTTTAAAAAAATTCTGAATAGGTAAAAAATGTGCAAAAAATATTCTCCAATTTTTAAAAATGGATCAAATCACCATTACTATTTTTAAAAAACAACATTATTTTAAAAGTATATCAAATAAAAATTGTACAATTGAACAAAAGTTTATTTCAATTTTCTCTAATTTAAGTATCATTGATAAATAACAAATGGAATACAGATTTATTACAATTATAACATAAAGCTTGATTTTATGAAATAAAAATTTTGTGAAACTTCATACACCCAAAATGTTCTGTACTGTATACAGTAAAATAGGTTATAACGAAGTCGCTGGGACCTATGAAATCACTTCGCTATATCCGTAATTCATTATAACCATATAAGAAATACATGAAATTCATATAGCTGGGGATCCAAAATGACTTCGCTATATCCGTGTTCGTACTAAATGAGTTTTACTGTACATTCTTTGTTTGTAGGATGGTACTATAAAGATCTGGGACACCCTGCTGAGTCAGTGTCACATTACCCTGTCGGGGCACCTACAGTCAGTGACCTGTATCAAATGGGGAGGGACTGACCTCATTTACTCCGCCTCCCAGGACAGAACCATCAAAGTGTGGAGGGCAGAAGATGTAAGTATAATCTTCATCATTTGTAAAGTCCCATCTTGTGACCAGTTTGAGGTGATAATGGGAGATATAGGGAAGATATGTTTACTTATTTTTATGTTTCCTTTTTAGCTCCCTGACTTGAAGCTCAAGTGGGTTTTTTTAAATCATTTGTTCATCTGTCTGTCTGTAAATGTTTCACATTTTTGACATATTCTTAAGAATCACTGGGCCAATCAAAACCAAACTTGGTACAAAGGATCTTTGAATTAAGGAATTTCAACTTATTTCAATAAAGGACCATGCTGGCCCTCTTGGAATTGAAGATAATAAAGAGAAGACAAAAATAGGTTGCATCTTTAAATAAATCTTATTCATAAGAACCACTGGATTTAAAAAAAAAAAAAACAAAAATAAAATCTTGATTAAAAGACAACAAATCACTGGACCATTAAAGATGGAGGTCATGTTCTAGCTACCTTATAGCCCCAGAAATGTAGCTCTCTGCTTTAGAAAATTCAGACATTTAAAGCAGAGAGTTGTAAATCCAAGGATTGTAAAAGCCTTCAATTTATGCTACCATTTTTTTGGTTGCTTACAGTAGGGAAGTTTAATACAGTTAATTTTCAATAAACCGCCACCTTTTGTAATTTTGAAATCATGGTGGGATAACGAATTTGGAGATGGATTGAATTCCTATTGTTTAGGAAAAAAGAAATAGAGTTACTGTTCTTAGAAATACCGTTTAGTGTCTCTATTCTTATTATTACATGTACATATAAAAACATGTTTCTATATTTGAAAATACTTCAAGTAATTTTTTATTTACACTTTTGCTTCAAAAAAAACATGCAGTTATGAAATAAAGACAAGTACATTTGTATGCATGTAAATCTGCATGTCTGATATTGAAAAAAAAAAATGCTGGGTCGATCGTCGTAATATATTGCCGATAGTAAGTAAAATGAATTATTGAATAAATTAATTGTTTATGGCATCATTGTTAATAAAACGTTCACAATTTATACCGTATAATTATTTTTAAAGCAACTTTTGCATTTTTTAAAGAAGAGATCATTAAAATAATATCGTTATCGGCGTTCTTAAACAACGGCCGCTTTCATGGCGAAGCTGTGACTAAATAATCTTAAGGGCTTATCTAATCACATTTTGTACGTCTGTCTGTCTGTTTGTCTAGCTGTCTTTCTGTCCATCTGTCTGTAAACTTTTCACATTTTCGACTTCTTCTCAAGAACCGCCAGGCCAATTTCAACTAAACTTGCCACAAAGCATCCTTGGGTGAACGGGATTCAAGTTTGTTCAAATGAAGGGCCATGCCCTTATTCAAGGGAAGATAATTGGGAATTAATGAAAATTTGATGACATGTTTTAAAAATCTTTTTCTCAAGAACCACTGTGCAAGGAAAGATGAAACTTATTTGGAAACATCTTCAGGTAGTATAGATTCAAAATTATTCAAGTCATAACCCCAAGGGGGTAGGGCGGGGCCACAATGGCCGACCAAAGTTTTACATAGAAATATGTAGGAAAATTCTTTTAAAATCTTCTTCTCAAGAATAGCAAAGCCATAATTAATCATATTTATATGGAAGCATCCTCAGGTAGTGTACATATGTAGATTCCAGTTTGTTCAAATCTTGAACACGTGGGGTAAGGCAGGGCCAAAATGGCAGACCAAAGTTTTACATAGAAATATATAGGAAAATTCTTTAAAAATCTTCTTCTCAAGAAAAGCAAAGCAATAATTGATGGTATTTTTAGCTCACCTCAACGAAGTTAGGGGGAGCTTATGTAATACCCTCGGCTTCGGCGTCGGTGTCGGCGTCGGCGTCCCGGGTTAAGGTTAAGTTTTTTGGAGCAGTTTTCTTTTTAACTACTTCTATGTCCTATATGGATTAGACTTGCATGGAGGATGGTTCTAGTGTGTTTCATTGCACCATTCAAAGTTTCAGATGCTGCAATTTCAGCAAAGGAACGACCAGGTTAATGTTTTTGGAGCAGGTTAACATTTTTGGTGCAGTTTTTGGTGTAGGTTTCATTTCCAAGTAACTAAAAGCCCTATGTTGACCAAACTTGCATGGATAATACATCTAAGAATGCATACTATTGGGCTCGCTTCGGATGCTGAATCTGACCTACATTTTCCAGTTGAGTGAACAGGTTAAAGTTTTTGGTGCAGGTTTCATTTCCAAGTAACTATAAGACCTATGTTGACCAAACTTGCATGGATGATACATCTAAGGAAACATACTATTGGGCTTGCTTCGGATGCTGAATCTGACCTACATTTTCCAGTTGAGTGAACAGGTTAAAGTTTTTGGTGCAGGTTTCATTTCCAAGTAACAATAAGACCTATGTTGACCAAACTTGCATGGATGATACATCTAAGGATGCATACTATTGGGCTTGCTTCGGATGCTGAATCAGACCTACTTTTCTGGTTGAGTGAACAGGTTAAAGTTTTTGGTGCAGGTTTCATTTCCAAGTAACTATAAGACCTATGTTGACCAAACTTGCATGGATGATACATCTAAGGATGCATACTACCAGGCTTGCTTCGGATGCTGAATCTGACCTACATTTTCCGGTTGAGTGAATAGGTTAAAGTTAATGCATGATTCATTTCCAAGTATCTACGATTCTTTAATGACCAAACTTGCATGGATGATACATCTAAGGATGCATACTACCAGGCTTGCTTCAGATGCTGAATCTGACCTACTTTTTGTGGATTAGTGAAAATGTTAGTTATTGATGCATGTTTCATTTCCAATTAACTATGAGCCCTATAATGAGCAAACTTGCATGGATTATAGATCTTAGGATGCAAACTAATGAACTTGCTTCGGATGCTAAATTCGACATGCATTTTTCATATAATAGACCAGGTAAAAGTTATGGGTGTAAGTTTAATACCAAAAGACTATAAGGCTTACATTACATTGTATAAACTAAACTTGCACAAACGTTGCATCAAGAGATGAAAACTCTCAAATTTGCTTCAGATTCTGGATTTTGATTACATTTCATGAAGAAGAACTAGTTTAAATTTTTTATGTAGGTCTATTCAAAGTATCAGATCAAAATTGCTTAAATATTTTCATTTTTGGAATGTACACTTTTTGTTGGTTAATTGTGTGACTTTGCCTTTCTTAAAGACAACATTCGTTGAGGTGAGCTCTGTGATTACCTATGGTTTTCTTTAGCTCACCTGAGCCAAAGGCTCAAGTGAGCTTATCTGATCACAATTTGTCCGTTGTCTGTCGTTGTCATTGTTGTTGTTGTAAACTTTTCACATTTTCATCTTCTTCTCAAGAACCACTGGGCCAATTTCAACCAAACTTGGCACAAAGTATTCTTGGGTGAATAGGATTCAAGTTTGTTCAAATGAAGGGCCACGCCCTTTTCCAAGGGAAGATGATAATGAATTTGTTAAGAATAAATGGCAATTTTAAAAAATGTTCTTCTCCAGAACCACTGGGCCAGGAAAAATGAAATTCATATAAAAGCATCATCAGGTAGTGTAGATTCAAGTTTGTTCAAATCACGACCCCCGGGGCAAGGGTGGGGCCAAAATGGCTGACCCAAGTTTTACATAGGAATATATAAGAAATATCTTTAATAATCCTTCTCCAGAACCACTGGGCCAGGAAAGATGAAACTCATGTGGAATTATCCTCAGGTAATGTAGATTCAGGTTTGTTCAAATCATGACCCCAGGGACAAGGGTGGGGCCAAAATGGCCGACCCTAGTTTTACATAGGAATATATAGGAAAATCTTTAAGAAATCTTCATCTCAGTACCACTAGGCCAGGAAAGATAAAATTCATGTGGAATCATCCTCAGGTAGTGGAGATTCAAGTTTGTTCAAATCATGAGCCCCGGGGCAAGGGTGGGGCCAAAATGGCCGACCCTAGTTTTACATAGGAATATGTAGGAAAAATCTTTAAAAAATCTTCTCCTCCAGAACCACTGGTCCAGGAAAGATTAAATTTATGTGGAATCATCCTCAGTTAGTGTAGATTCAATTTTGTTCAAATCATGACCCCCGGGGCAAGGGTGGGGCCAAAATGGCCGACCCTAGTTTTACATAGGATTATATAGGAAAAATCTTTAAAAATTTTCTTCTCCAGCACCACTGGGCCAGGAAAGATGAAACTCATGTGGAGTCATCCTCAGGTAGTGTAGATTCAAGTTTGTTCTAATCATGACCCCCGGGGCAAGGGTGGGGCCAAAATGGCTGACCCAAGTTTTACATAGGAATATATTAGAAATAGCGTTAATAATCCTTCTCCAGAACCACTGGGCCAGGAAAGATGAAACTCATGTGGAATTATCATCAGGTAGTGTAGATTCATGTTTGTTCAAATCATGACCCCAGGGGCAAGGGTGGGGCCAAAATGGCCGACCCTAGTTTTACATATGTAGGAAAAATCTTTAAGAAATCTTCTCCAGTACCACTAGGCCAGGAAAGATAAAATTCATGTGGAATCATCCTCAGGTAGTGGAGATTCAAGTTTGTTCAAATCATGAGCCCCGGGGCAAGGGTGGGGCCAAAATGGCCGACCCTAGTTTTACATAGGAATATGTAGGAAAAATCTTTAAAAAATCTTCTCCTCCAGAACCACTGGTCCAGGAAAGATGAAACTTATGTGGAATCATCCTCAGTTAGTGTAGATTCAAATTTGTTCAAATCATGACCCCCGGGGCAAGGGTGGGGCCAAAATGGCCGACCCTAGTTTTACATAGGAATATATAGGAAAAATCTTTAAAAATCTTCTTCTCCAGAACCACTGGGCCAGGAAAGATGAAACTCATGTGGAATCATCCTCAGGTAGTGTAGATTCAAATTTTTTCAAATCATGACCCCCGGGGCAAGGGTGGGGCCAAAATGGCCGACCCTAATTTTACTATACAATTATAGCCTTTTGATGAGGTCAATCCCTCGATATATAGACCTTAGAGAAATCATATCGACCGAGCACGAAGTAGGATTTATATGTATTATATTCAGTATTATAATACTGAATACCTTCTTATACAAGGCATTGTTATGTCATTGCATTATGACGTCACAGTAATGAAAACCAGCTACAATATCTGTTTTTAGAAACATCCAGTCTATAAAGA